GTGTGTGTGTGTGTGTGTGTGTGTGTGTGTGTGTGTGTGTGTGTGTGTACTCGTGTGTGTGTGTGTGTGTGTGGTCTGTGTGTGTGTGTGTGTGGTCTGTGTATCTGCGCCTGTGTCTGTGTCTGTGTCTGTGTGTGTGCACGTTCTTGTGTGTGATTCTCTGTCTCTGTGCTTGCGTGCGAGGCTGCGTGTCTGAACTAGTCACCTGTTCGTCGTGCCCATTCCAGTCTCCCTCTTGCTCCCTTGTCCGTGCCTCTCATCCCCCCCCCCACACACACGCACATGCACACATACACACAGGCTCGCAAGCACACGCAGGAGCCCTTCAACGCAGAGATTGGCAAGGTCATCTTTGACTTTGCATCCAAGGTCAAGCTGACAACCAGCGAAGCACTGCGCAGGTCAGCTTCCTGCAGTGCACTGTTCTACTGAGCCGGCCTTGTCACACGTACAGTTGCCGCGTTGTAACAAACAACACTCACGCACCACACAATGTCTACTGTCCAGTTTGCTGGTTGCATACGTGTTCAGGACCGATGCAGAGAAGCTGGCCACGCCAGAACAGCTCTCTGGTATGCATCACACACACACACACACAAAAAGAAGCATGCTTTCTTTCTCCTGGTTTGCCTCCTGCCATCGTCATGACACGCACAAATGCAAACATGCACACATGCACACACACACACACGCACGCACGCATACACGTTCATGCACTTACACTTCCCAACTTCTACATTCAATTGCACACACTACAGCGGCCATCAAGTTTGTCAACTCCAAGCCGGCCGATGCGGTACTTGGAGCCTGCGTGTGCGTTTTGACCATCTTGCGTTCTCGTGTGCAATGGCACCATGACTCGCCTGCCCCACTTCGCTCACGCCCTCACACACACACACACACACACACACACACACACACACACACATACACACACAGGCAGGCAGGCAGTTGATTTCACGCAAGGAACATGAACGCTCGCTTCAATGGCAGTATGGCAGCGAGTGTACACCACGATACGAACACACACACACACACACACACACGCACAAGCGCATGCGCGTGGACGTACGGGACGTGATGGCCTTGTCTGTGGTTGTAGTTGAGGTTCTGTCGTACTGGCCCGTCTTCTTGGTGATCTGATACAGCGAAAGGCGGTGCGATGTTGCGACGACAAACGTGTCCCACCTGCGATTGCGCGAGGAAGGAGAGCAACAGGCCAAGCATGGGCGAAAGCAGGCGTTCACTGTGACAAGGCATACCAACAAAGCAGTGGGTACACACACGCATGAACGCATCCACAAGCATAAATACACACGCACACACACACAGCAGACACACGCATACACATACAGCACACACAGCACACACACAACACACCATTCGATGGCCTTGTCGGCAAAGTTGCCCGGGTTGAAGAGGAGCTCAACAATGGTGTCGTCTGCATCCTCCTGAATCACTTGCTTGGGCGTGGCCTCTGCTGGCGTGTTCCACAGCGCGGCCGTGTCAAAGATGTACACGCTGCCGCCAACCGCGCACGCGAGCACGCGCCCGTCACTTCATGCAATACCAAAGCGCCGCAGTGGTAAGGAGGCACACAGGGTGAGATGAGCACAGGTTGAAAAACATGCGCAGACGCACAGGTGCTGTGTGTGTGTGTGTGTGTGTGTGTGTGTGTGTGTGTGTGTGTGT